TTAAGTCCCCTTCCTTCCCAGCTTAACAATAACTCCTTAACACATTCTTGACTCAGTCCCTGTTCTGAAATAGTTCTTCAAAATAGTTTTAGAGGGCACACACACTCCACTACACAACGTAAACAGGGTTTTCAAGAAGCATGTTGTATCGAATTGTTACATACGTGTTTGTTTCGGCAGCCCTTTTTAAATGTCACCTGTAATGACTGAGGCAAGAAAGAGCATTTCGGTTCAAGATCTTCCATAATCCCACAATGGCTAAACCTAGGTAGGAAACTGTAGCTTTCACACTACCAGATATCTCACTTTATTTTTTTTAAATGTTTTTAAATGTTTATTAACTTTTGAGAGAGAGAGACAGAGAGAGAGAGAGAGAGAGAGAGAGAGAGAGAGAGAGAGAGAGAGACAATGCGTGAGCGGGGGAAGGGGAGAGAGAAAGAGACACAGAATCTGAAGCAGGCTCCAGGCTCTGAGATGTCAGCAGAGAACCTGACGCAGGGCTCCAACTCACGAGTGGTGAGATCATGACCTGAGCGGAAGTCGGATACTTAATCGACTGAGCCACATAGGCACCCCCAGATATCTCACTTTAGAACTAGAATAATAATGGGGAAGAAGAAATTACTGAAAATTATTGGAAGAAATACTCTATTATAGCTTCAAATACATTTTCAGTTCCCCAGAAAACACGGTCACTTGATAAAAATCTCCCTTACAAAAAGGAGATTTTAAGGTATAAAGATGGTGACTGCTTTCCAAATTTGTAGTTTATTTTTTTAATAAACATTATTTTAGATCAGGTTTAGATTTATTTTTACAAGTGCAAAGATAATACATAGATTTCCCATTTACCCCGTACTCACTTTTATTAACATTTTCCGTTAGTATATTTGTCACAACTGATAAACCAATATTGACACATTATTAACTAAAGTCTGTATTTTATTCAGATTTCCTTGGTTCTCCCTCATATCCTTTTTCTGTTCCAGGATATACTATTTTTATCTCCTTCATGTCTCCTTAGGCTTCTCTGGACTGTGACAGTTTAAGACTTTCTTTTCTTTGTTTATGTTAGCCCTGAGAGTTTTGAGGAGTACAGGTTGGGTATTTTTTGAATGTCCCTCAACTGGGATTTATCTGATGTTTTTTTCTTGGTTCCATTGGGATGATGGGTTTGGAGGGAGGACAATCACAAAGATGTCATTTCATCACATCATACCAAGGGTACACACTATCAACATGACTCATCACTACTGATGTTAATTTTGACCTCCTCACTGACAGGTCATGATTGTCAGGTTTTTCTAATGTAAAGTTACTCATTTTTCTCAGTCCATACTTGGTAAGGAGCCAGGAGTTATGTTCCATCTCCTTGAGGATAGAGTATCTACATAATTTGGACAACTTCTATACCTTAGATTTGTCTGTTTGCCTCCATTTGTTTATTCAAATATTTATATCAATGTGAACTCATGAATATTTATTTTATACTTTAGGTCATCATCCAAAACTATTTTACATTGTTGCCCAGCTTTGTTCATTAGGAGTTCTTTCAGATGGCTCCTTGGACCTTGGGCATATACTCGCAATTGCAGGCTACTACTGCTGCTGTTTGAGCACTTCCTTATTTTCTGGCACTACAAGGTGTCCAGGGCTCATCTTGTCTATTTCCTCCAGTCCTAGCCATTCCTCCAAGAAGCCCTGGTTTCCTTACTGGAGAATGGTAAAAACCAAGATCCAGGCACTGTGCTTTTAGACCCTCTTGGCTGACAAGCAAGGAAATTTATGCTTTCATGCTAACCCTTGGAAAACACCTACTTATAATTACAGTATTTCTACATACAACCATCTATATCCCTCTTATGCCAAACATAAGTTTACAGTGATGCCTCCAATTCTAATCTATCAGCACATAGATCATTCTAGGGTCCTCCCCTGGCTCTCTGTAACCTCCCACTTCAAAAGTAGGAAACCTGGTTCCCAGGTTTACATAATTGACTGAATTGCTCAATTCCAGTAGACATGTATAGTGGTCCTGGACTTGTTAACCTGTATCCCCATGGGAAATACCTTAATCAATTACAGCACAGTACTGAGGTACACTGCCTTTTGCCTTTAGTTTTACAGACTCCCCTCATTTCCAAAGTGACAGGTCAGCACCTTCTCCCCCAACCCCCGCCAGCGAGGTTGTTTCATACATTTTTATTACAGTTAGATTGTTTGGTCACAATGTGCATTCCAGCCTGGGATCCTCTGATCTCCTAAATGATAATTATTTATATATTATCAAATTAAATAATTTAAGTTTTATTTTCAACATGGGGCAGGGGGAGGGTGACAAGGGGAGAAGGTACTGATGGAACTCAAAAGGGAAGGTATTAACAATTTAGAGATTTTCTTAAGTTTCTACTATCTGATTAAAAATAGAAATTTATTGAAAACTAATGTAATTATTTTTTAAACATATTGAAATATTTGCACATAAAAATGGACATGGTAAAGATCAAAAGTAAGAAACATAGTTCCCTCTTATAATTGAAACATGGATTTTTCTAGGAGCTTTCAGTAACTTTATCCAATTTTCCTAATTGTAAAATGAGAATAAAACATTTCTTATCCAGGACTAAGAATTTATGGTAGGTATGCAGATAGTATTCTGCCACTCAAGGATAAAATGTTAGTTTTAATAAAAGCAGACTCTATGCCTTGGAGGAAATAAGCTCTACCCAATTATATTTTTCATACAATAGTAAAATTTTCTATTTTCATACAATCATATTCATAAAGCCTAGTAACCCTGATGATGATTAACTTCTTATCACTGAGGAATTTTTTCTGTCTAGCAACCTGGGATCCTTAGGCATTTTAAAGTCCTTAAACTATCCAAACAGTTACCAATATACACCTAGATTTATTCTTAAGCATGTGGGAGAGTTTAAAAAGATTTAGTGGCCATAAGTTACCCCAAAAAAAGACAAAAGGGAGAGGAAACATCTTTTGAGGATTTCTTTTTTAAAACAAAATTTATTATCCTCGTAAGGCTGCATAAATGCCATTTATTTACTAACAGATAATCACAAATTTCCAAGGATACAGTTTAAACTCCTGCTATGATCATGCATTTTATTGAATTATCAGAAGAGGAAACATTACAAGTAAATTTGCCAAGACAACCTTTGCAGGAACAAGATGTGCCCAAGCACCCCTTCAGTTCCTTTACAGAAAGCAGCATTTATCCATACATAATTCACACCTGACATGGAATGTAATTCAAAAATCTAATCTCTTTCTGTGTAGTGAGCACTGAGAAGGAAGCCATGTGTGAGGCCATTAATGAATATTTCTTCCAATTACTATTAATAGATTCTTCTTCCCCATTATTTTATTTCAAAAATGAAATATCTAGGAGTATTAAAAACCGATTTCCTAATCAAGTATTCAGAGACCATATGTTGTTAAAGCTCACTGAAAACCCCATCCTTAATAATTTCAAAAACTTTTAAAGATACAATTAGAACACCTGTTTCTTTGAGCCTGGCTAGCTCAGTCAGTTAAGTGTCCAGCTTTTGATTTCTCCTCAGGTCACGACCTCCCGGTTTGTGAGATTGAGCCCCGCGTCAGGCTCTGTACTGACAGCATGGAGCCTGCTTGGGATTCTTTCTCTCCCTCTCTCCCTGCCCCTCCCCTGCTGGCGCTCTCCCTCTGTCTCAAAATAAATAAATAAACTTAAAAAAGAAAAAAAAAAAAGAAAGAACACTTGTTTCTTTCTCTCCTGGTTTCCCAAGAATGTCCAATAAGTTATTCTATTCATAAATCAGTATGCTTTTGTACTGGTGTAAGTTTGTACCAACCCTGCAATTTCCCAAAGACTGTCTCAGACTCCAACAGAAAAAAGACAAGAACTGAACTCATTGTAAGTAGAGTGGGAGACCAGAGCAGAGAGGTAAGATTGGAGGCAAGGAATAGGATAATTAGAGCCCAAAATTAAAGTGATGCTTTAAATAAAGCAAATCTAAAAGGTTTGAGGGGGAAGGGGGTTAGGGAAGAGATCTAAGCAATTTCCAGAGACGACCACTTCTGTCAAGGGAGTCTGATGCCATAAAAGAAGGTGCTCAAAACAAGATCATGGAGATCAGCATTCCTATCGATTTGCAGTACATTAGCACAAAGAAATAGGTAAAATAATGAGGAATCAAAAAAGTTTGATTTAAAAATTCTCAAATTCTAAAAACCACGAATAATTGTGGGAGGAAGGGCAAGAAGAACAGAACAAATGGCTGCCTAACCTAACGTGCCCTTGGAAATTGATGCTTCATCAATTCCTTCTCTCCACACAAAAAACCCAGAGGCTCCTGGTGTCAAATAGGAAGAATCAGCGCCAAAGGAGCAAGTGTGCAGTCTCAGCAGGACCGCCACACCCCACAGAAACACACCATTCCAGTGTTGTGGGGGTTCACGCTACCTGACAACCGAGTCTGGGAGGCACAGCTGCCAAGACACAAGTACAGTAAGAAAAGTCCCCAAGCAGAGCTGGCGTTATTTGGAACCACTTTAGCAGGCCTCACACCAACAAAACTTGGTGGCAGTTTGTTCCCTCAGGGGGAATCTGAAGGAACTTTGAGAAAGTATTTGCTCAGAGCCACATACCGCTTCCATCTACAGCACTCAAGTCGCCAGCAGAGATCCCAACAGAGAGCTAGGCTTGGGATTTAATCATTAGGCTTGCCTTTCAGTCTCCTAACTCAGAAATACAGGGGCTTAATAAAGTAATCTTTTCATCCTGACTTAAGGGAAATAATCCCATTAAGAGTTGAGCATGCCTGGGAATTTACCTGCTTCACCGTGGGTCTAGGGATTTGAGGCTAGATGGGTAATGCCACAGAATAAAGAGGAGCATCTTTGCAGAGACTGTCCCCTGTCTGAGAGTGTCCCTGCAAAGGCTTCTCTCCCAGTGTGTGAGATGAACGGGCAGGGGGGTGTGGGGCGCCCAGATAACCTACCTGCCACTCTGGTCTGAGGTCCAGGTAACTGATCGCCCCTGGGGTTTGGTGCTGTACCGTATCCTTATGGCGTGAGGAAAGTCAGTAGCTGTCTGAGCCCCTGTCTTCCTGATCTGCAAGCTCCAAGTGTCAGTGTCAAACAGGAGTTCCCCACAGCCAGGAGCCTGGCTGCAACGAGCATAATAGTCTAACTGCTCCCTCCAACGATCTGCAGGCAGAGTCACAAGTTCACACACAATCTGATTCCTGAGCTCCTCAGAAACAACTGTGAGCTTGGGAGACCTTGTCAATTTTTCAATACCTGGCACAGCAGCAACATCCACCTCCTCAACCTTTAACACAGATAAATCACAGCAGTCCAACACTAGCAAAAAATCCTCACTCCCATGATTCCCTGTGTCACAGCAGTACTTTGAGCTAGAAATCCCAGAAGCCTGTTCCCGGTTGTCATGGTTACCATCTTTACCAGAAGTATCTTTTTCACCTTTACCACAGATTGTAAAATCATTAGATCTTGTTTTAGAGGAGAAGGTCCTCGTATCTGTCACAGGGCTATGGCAGGGTTCAGGCATCCTAAATCTGCAGGCTTCGTTTGACTCTGTTCGGCAGGGTTCCTTGGTGGACCCACTCTGTTTCTTTCCAGACTCAAAGAAAAGCACTATGGTGCCCTCGATGATTTGACTTTCAAAGTCCACATCTAAATCCAGTACATAGTGCTTCACAAGTATGTGGCTAGTGTTGGCCATGAGAGGTAGGTCATCCCGGGAAGGGTCCAGTTTTGTGTCCATGGCGTTGGTTGTTGTTCGAGAGCTTTGTTAAAATCTCAGAAGGGGCTTCCTAGCTGCCTTAATCTTCCAGAATCATAAATGGCCGCTTACCAAAAAAACACCTGATGTCACAATTATGGCTCTTTCAGTCCCCTGGCAAAGAAGAAAAACACCATTAGACAAAATTCCAAACAAGACCCTAAATGTTCCTACAACCACTGCTTCACTTCAGCAAACTGACTCCCTCCTTAAATAATCCCCCAATGTGGTAGAAGCTCATGGCTAGAAGGCAGACTAATCTTTCTGACTGACATCAAAGAAGGCTGCATTATGGGTTTCTAAAAATATTTCAATTACCAATGGAATGAAAGGGGCCTCCACAAAGCCTGAAGATTCTTGCTCTTAACTAGAACAGTCCTTGTTCTGGGAAAGAGCAATTGTTATGCAAAAGCATAACTGAGCATCACTGCGCCTCTTGTTTTAAAAGATATTAAATGCATCATTTCTAATTTTGTGCATCAAAGATAAGTGATTGTTTCTCTCCTGTGATTCTAAGTAACAAATGTGAACGAAGGCTAAATGGCCTCATACGTTTTATTCTTTGAGAGTAATAATTTAATACATAAAATGTAACTCCAGGGATTAATGTACTTTTCACATTAGGCCTGCTCTCATATCAGCACTTCCAGTAAATTACAGGAAAATGAGCCAATTTACCAGGAGTGCATTCTAAGTATTCCTTTGAGATTGTTCATGGAGATTTTTCAAATTTATAGTTAAATACTCAAGGTATATCATTACATCTTAATAGCTGAAAACCCATTAACATTCTGGATAATAGCCTTCTTGTGGCAAACAAAAAGGTCTTCTCATTTGAAAAAAAAATAGTATGCAAATACCTATAAAAGGAAAAAGAGAAATTAAAATGTAGAAACAGATGTTGTAATAAAATGCCCAAGTTCTTCATAAAAGTTCTGAATCAAAATGTATTCTTATTTTATAATAGCAATCCGGCTACAAGAAAAATTATTTGAAATTATTTCAGTCCCTGTTGTGTACCTAATTTCTTTCAGCGTATGCTGTTCTTTATTTTTTATTCTTTTACCAAAAATGAAAACGGGGGAAAGAAATAACAACTCTGACAGGGTAGATATATTTAAAATAATCTTTGTATTTCTACATATCAGGAGGTATTCTTGTATCAACTACAAAACAACATTGCTTGCTTGACTTTTCAAGTAAAACTGAACCCTCCCTTTTTATTCTGTTTAACTCCTCCTCACTTCCCCTCAGATTTTATCTGCCTGTCTACTAGACTCTTATTTCCTTCCTTTTAGAATCTCATTCCAGAAACCAAACCTATTGAATTTTCATTTTCTACCTCTCCACAGGCTACTTCCTCAGGAAAATCCTACCTACCCTAAGCAGGGAGGGGGGTGGAAAACCTGGCTTCCTGCATCCTTGTCCAATCTGGTTTCAAGCTATTTTCCCGGCATGGAGACCATACTCCCTTTGCATCCGTGTCCTCTAGCCAAAGGGCCTGCTCAACAGTCTGTCCCTAAATATGACCTGCTCTTTCGACTAGGCAGTGGCCATACCTGGAGTGTTCCCATAGCCACCTGCCAAATTCCATTCTGTCTCCACACCCAGTTCAAGTGCAATCACCTCCTGAAATCCTTCCTTACTCTCTATTCTCCCACTCTTCACCAAACTGTATGTGGCAATATACAGTTTGACTTTAAAAGTAATAGGAACGGAGAGAAATCAGGGATGCAAAGAATATTTTGAGATTACTTTATAAAGAAGTTGGCACTCGCCTGGGCTCTAGAAGAATCAATAGGCCAAAGGAGGAAGACAGTGTTTTCTTTTCTGCATGAAAGCAATTGAACTTGTCATGTAAAGAATAATTCATAGTCTAACCCTAATAGATCCTTTCATTTACTTGTAAAAATTAATATAATTTAAGAATAAAATGTATTCTATAGAGCAGTTGTCACCACTTTTGTCCCTGGTGGCCGATAATAAGGCAGCCTGAGAATCCCATCCATCCAAGCCTGTTAACATCACCTTGTCACCCTAACTGGAATCATTTGCTTCTCTTCCTTGGATTCTTGAGTACACTCCCCATAGCTGCAGTTCTAAATCGTTTCTTCTTTTAACTCTCCAGTTCCATGCCTGCTGACTCATTCTCAGCTAATTATTTGGCCTCCCACTTTACTGAGATTATTTCAAATCTCTGAAACTCCCTCATGGCTCAAGTATCTGTAGTTCTTCACAACTATTGCCTTCTCCTTTTTGACTCAAAGAAAACAACAATATCCCTTCTCCCCAAAGCTAATTCCTTTCCCCTTGAATCCTAGCTTCTGGGGTATGAAAGGGCCAAATGAATAGCACTCTTCTTGCCCACTGAAATTCTGAACACACTGAAATATAAGATGAGGATATGGCAGAGGGATACCAAAATATCACTATTATTACAGGTGGAGGTTAAACTGGAGAATATGGTTTAATGTGGGAGCCAAAGGTACCTGAAAACTCAATCCCAAAATTCAACAGATTTACCCCCAGGGTCACAGGAAACACTGGATCAGGTCAAAGCTCCCACAAAAGGTACCCTCTCCAGGTAAGAATTAGGGCCTGGAGAAGTAAGGAGAATAGCCATCCAAGGTCAGGACTGCTGGCCCAAAAGCAAAAGGGAGGAACTCAAAGGAACAGAACATGCTCGATTTCTTCTTCCCGCTCCACCTCCTTTAAGAGGGAAGGAGCAAAGTGATCAAGAATTTTACAGTAATTAAGCACCCTTCACAAGACAGGAAATATCAGAAATAAGAAGCTTTCCCTCAAACTCTATCTCCTCCTACTAATTTGGAATCTTCTTACATTTGACAAAAAATGTTTTTCTCTTGCCAACATCTTCTTCCTCTCAGTGTTTCTATCCTATTCCCAATGTTTCAAACACTCCCAGGGGCTGCCATCTTCAAAAACAAACATTGCAATATATCCATATCAAAACACTATGTTATACACCTTAACCTAATACAATGTTGTATGTCAATTACATCAATTAAACTGGAAAAAAATAAAAACAAACAAAAACACTCGACCCTGCTGCCTATGTTAACTAAGTTTTTATTTCTTTGCATTCTAGAACTGACAGATTCCTTAGGGCTTAGTGCAACTGTCTAGTTCTACAAATCATGACAATGAGGCCCAGAGAGGTAAAGCAATGTGCCAAGGTCACTCATTTCTGATGCTTTTCTCCTTGCCAATTCTTTCCCTTGCAATTCTCATCCTCCAGCTCTTGTGGCCATTTTCTTTATGTTGTCCAAGTCATAAATCAAATGTCACCTCCTAAGACTGTCTTCTGTATTCCCATGCTCCCTTTCCTATCCTTCAAGTCATATGGACTAGACTCATTTCATACCGTAATAGCTTTGTGGGGAAAGGAGAATTTTTAGGCCAGCCCCAGAAGATTCAGAAGATCACGGTCACCTCTGCATGGTTTCCAACCTAAGCTGTGTACAATATGTATGTAAGTCCGTTAAACTCGCTGCTTATTACACCTATTTCCTCCTTGCCTTGGATTCTTAGATGACCTGAATCTCCTTTCTCGACAAGTTCACAACTCTCACTGATGTCAATCAGGGTCACAGCCCCACGTTTAGGGAAGAACTGAACTAACTGTGGTTGCAAATGCGAGTACGTGGCCACCTTGTAAGGCTTCTCTCAGCAAATAGTAACCATATTTCTAAGCAGTCTGTTGACTTCAGCACTTTTTGCTATTATTGTGCTCCAATTTAAAATGCCAGTTTGTCTCACTGAAGCATTTTTCCATTCTCTGTCATAAGCCATAACATATAAAATTCCCCCCTTTATCAAACCCAATGGTTAGTTTCCAGTGGCTAACCACTGCTGCCTCTAAAATAAGTGTACTGCGTGGTATGTATTTTAAACGCTTAAATGATTGTCTTAGCAACACCATTAAAGACTTCAAAAGGATTAACATACAGCAATATTTTTCTTGAGCAAGGTGGGAGGAGGGGGCAAAAGAGAGGATCAAATACTAAACAGTTATGGCACACTGAAGAAACTGCCCTGCCACTTTCACTCGCCAAACAGAAGTGCACACACCTACAAATGTGTAAAATAGCCTCTGTAGAGCCATTCCAGATACCTCTAAAGAAAATAATTTCACTCTCCTTTCAAGCTACAAAGCCACATGTGTGATCCTCATGACCCTTCCCTTATCCTGCCTCATTCTGCAGTTACCTCTACCCTTCCATGGTCTAAAAACAACTAGAGATTCCTGATTCATCTTTGTATGCATGGCCACGTTGAGTAGAACGTACACAGTAGGTTCTCAGCAAATATCTGTGGAATTGACATCTGAGGTCATTTATGACTTCTATGTCTAGCTATCTACAGAGCAGGGATTCTGGCTTGCATAGGTTCTAGTAGAAAGCTATGGCTTAGGGGCGCCTGGGTGGCGCAGTCGGTTGAGCGTCCGACTTCAACCAGGTCACGATCTCGCGGTCTGTGAGTTCGAGCCCCGCGTCGGGCTCTGGGCTGATGGCTCAGAGCCTGGAGCCTGTTTCCGATTCTGTGTCTCCCTCTCTCTCTGCCCCTCCCCCGTTCATGCTCTGTCTCTCTCTGTCCCAAAAATAAATAAACGTTGAAAAAAAAAATTAAAAAAAAAAAAAGAAAGCTATGGCTTAAAAAACATCTTTCTCCAAATGGTTCTCACTTTTTCTTCTCATACCTGTCCCTCTTTATGCCACATCTCTTTCCTTGTAAGCAAGTCAAGGGAAAAGGAGAAATTTACCGTATACCACTGAGCACACTATGAGTGGTTACAAAATATTTCATTCTACAGACTACTTGTTCAGAGGAAGATAGCTTTCTGCTATTCCAAGTGTGTTCCTTCTGTAGAATACAGTGATTGCTCTTAATGACAGCCAGTTTACTTGCTGAAGTATACTGTTTCTGGGCACAGTTCCTCAGACACTCAAATGCATATAATCATAGGAACATAGCTTATTGCTGTGAAATTTGATAAAATAATTTCAGAATTAGAAGGAATCTTAGAAGCACAAATGTATTATTTTGTATTTACAAATGTCACACTGACATATTACTCTGTAACTTATTTCTTT